CCACTTTGTGTTGGTCTTTCACATTAAATTCCAGTGAAATATATATTATGTTTGTGGTTGTAATGTGACAAAATATGGAAAAGTTCAAGGGGTATGAATACTTTTGCAAACCACTGTATGTTCCTTCAAGCAATATTTTTATGTTTTTCTGACTTTTCTCACAAAAATAGGTTATTAGCAAAGAAGATGATTTGAGTTGAATATTAGAAAAAAAACACAGTCTGAAAAAAGAAAAAACAGAAAACCTAATTGTGAAATGTGGAAAGAAGGCAGACATATAAAGTCAGCTTGGATTGAAATCCAAACTACTGTTCTCCTACCTGAAACATGGTTGGGGTACAAGTCGTTAATCATGGATGGATGATGGACCGCCTGCATGTACTGAGGCAGGGCTACCATGTGACTGATATGTTCCCCGGCTTCTGAACTCTGCCAGACATTCACCTGATTTGAAGAAGCAAATAGAGAAGAAATTCAAACAGGGTTCCTCTCAGTGGAGTCACAATTCAATCTATGTTACTGTGAAACTGTGACACATTTTAGAAAGGTCAAACTGTTTACATCATGAACAAGAGAAAACTGGAGCTCACTGACACGTTAAATAGATTTAGGTATTTTTTTAGACAGTATGAAGCAGTAATCTGGAGTGTGAGAATTTTTTACTACCAGAAAAGCCTTTTACAACACATCAGAAGAAAATTAATTGTATTAGTTGAACAGGCATTTCGGGTGTCAGATCAACAAACTGATTGTAAAACAACAAATATAGCCACACATAATGCAGCTCAGCACTTACTGGGTAGGTACCTGGTATGCACCCAACACTACAGGGACTGGGCTGTATTATGAAGTGACTTGTTAATCAGCCTTTATATGTTTTTCATTACTCATAGGTTTTTCTAATATGCAGCCCCTGCCTCGTGTCATACCAGAGAACCAAAGAATCAGAACAGAACTCCAAATTGGGACAACATGCTCCAGCGTCCTGCTCTGCAGTGCTCTATAAACCAGTTATTCTACAATAAAAACTGCAATTGCCATAATGTGTCTTCCAGAACAGTTAATTTCTCTGATTATGTTCAGTCCAACTTAAAAGCAAACCTTTTGAAGGATTCATTTTATAAAATTTCTTTTAAACTCCACCATGTTTATGAGATTTTCTTTCAATTTTCATTTCCTCAAATCTTCACAAATGAAGGGATTCAACGTCAAAGTGATTCACAAAAGCAACATGAGTCATTTTACTGGGAAATCTGGCTTTGGAAAGATACCAATAACTAAAAAACTAAAAAGCTCTAAAATATAAAAATAAATGAATGTATCTTCTTTGTTCCTTTCAAAGACCTCACAAGTGAATTGCCTTTTCCAGGTCACTTAGATCTGCTAAATGTTTGATTTTATTCATTTGGAGGGCAAAGCTAAAGTACAGAGCAGGTCGGTCCTTTGAAGCCTTTCAAGAAATATTTCAGACATTTCTCCATTGGCAACCAATAATATACTGTAAAAGACGAACACATAAAATGTAAAAATACTTAAGTGTACCATACTGACAGGCTCTTCAAGAAGGCCTATCAGTGCCTGTATTGTATTACAAACTTTGTCATTTAAATGTTGACAAAACCCTCATAAGATCGTTTTACTCTTGTTTTATTGAATTGGGTTGGGTCTTCACATCTAAAGGTCAGTGTGGTCAACTTAACCAGAAAAACAAGCTCAAACTGCAGAGGGTTGTGAGAGTCTGTTAAAAACTGGCAGGCACCACCTGAAATGACCTGCCTCATCAAAAGATCCAGCTCACGTTCGTTATAATTTGACATTTCTGACAAAAACAACAACTCTTCAATAACAATGTGCAGTGACAAAATAGTAGTATTCATTGAAATAGAACTTTTAAAAAAAGTACACAACAAGAAAAACATAAAGTCTGTAGTTTAATTTGCATTAGTTGGATCATATATCTCTCATTTAAATAACTAAAATAATTAAAATGTCTATTCATAAAACCAATTTCAGATACCTGCAATGCAATTATGGTGAAGCTGATTAAGTGTAAACATAGCCTGCCATACACAAACGTCTGCATCAGGGCCGGTTCTAGGAATGCATACTTGAGGGGGCAGATGGAAATATTAAGGGGGCGTCATGTGTACACATTGTGCTCCATTACATTTGTTGTTGTTGTTGTTATTATTTTCTTCATAGGATTGGGTTTTTACGGTCTGCTGTGTCCTACTTCCAAGAGATGGATTGAACTGTTCTGTCCAGCTGGGTGTCCCACCTGAAGACTGTTATGCTGGTGCAGCACTTAGAGTCACTGAGGAATTTACCTTATGGGATTACCATTAGGCATTTATGCATCTCAGATAAATTAGAACCATAGAGAGCAACATACTTGGCCAATAAAGCTGATTCTGATTTTGAGCCTATAAGACACTATAGTGAACTCGGCCTATCCACCCATTGTTTACATCTGTGACATCCTGGAGAAGCTAAGACGGTGCCTGAAGAGGCCAATATGTCACAGCGGACAAGACTATTGGATTAACAGTGAGCCCAACTTCATCTGCCAGAATTATTTTTATTACATATAATATAATTCATAATTAATGTTAATTTCATACAACAATCATGTAAAACAGCTATAWGTTTTATAAGGAAAACATATTGTTTACAACTAATGATGATCTAATGTTGACCTGAAGTCAGTCAATAATGACTTGATTCCAATCATTTCAAGACTTTTTAGCTAATTGAATAATAATATCTTTAACTAGTGAATTTGTAATATTGTTTAAGTAGGCTCTATATTTGCAACTAATTTCAGTGATCAGAATCTCATCTACATAGCTGAGATTAAAAAATACATTTCAGAATTTTAGTCTGTGTAAATATTATAAAAGACACGATACCAGCTTATAATATTTAATCATTTGTAGTAAACTGTGGCATAAATTATGCTACAGTTTTCTACAAATGTCTGTACAAAAACTTATAGTCTGTAACATAAAACATAAAACTTCATATAAAAAATCATCAAAGATTTCACAAACAACAGAAATAACAACAGCAGCAACTAGAGCAGAGCATTATATATATTGTGGATTTTTTTTTGTTTAATTTGAAACCTGGTCAGAAATCTTCCTTGTTTATCACTCCTCTCTTTTTTCTCCTGCTCTGACACTAGCAGCAGCTTCAGGCAGGAGCAGAAGTGTTTTAAAAGGCTGTAAAACAGCTGCATCATGCAGCATTACCTGAATGAAACTATTAGAAGTGCAGTGGTTAGGATTATCTTCTTATGCTAAGCTACAGTATCGTGTTCAGGACTGACCGAGTCCCTGAGGAGAAATGCAGAGACACGAGAAGCTTTCTATGAGCTGCTGAAAGCTGCTGGAATGGAAAGTGAGTAAAAACTTTGTAAAAACAATGGTGATTACAGCGGGCAAAATAAGTATTGAATACGTCAACATTTTTCTCAGTAAATATATTACTAGAGGTGTTAATGATGTAAATTTCACCAGATGTTGGTAACAACCCAAGCGATCCATACATACAAAGAAATCAAACCATAAATGTCCAGAAATGAAGTTATTTGTAATAATGTGGAATGGCACAGGGAAAAAGTATTGAACACCCATCCATTCATCCATCCATTTTCTTCCGCCTATCCAGGGTCGGGTCGCGGGGCAGCAGCTTCAGAAGGGAGGCCCAGAC